AGCTTAGTAAACATGCCACTCTTTGGACTCAATTCCATTTAAATCACCCAAGAAAATTTAAAACAATACTGATATCTGGACCTCACCATTTGAATCACCTTCTCGGGGGATAAGGCCCAGGCACTGGTATTTTCTGAAAGTACCTACAGAAGGTTCAAAAGGGCAGCCTGTAATGAGAACTCTTGACTAATTGAGTCTGTTTTAGTAGGGCAGGGTGGCACTCAGTTTCTCCATGTTTAACAGGTGCCACAGATGATTCTATACATGGTCCATGGGCCTTATTCTCAAAAACACTGGCCTCAAAAAAAAACCAAACTCACTGCTGTCAAGTCAATTCGACTCATAGTGACCCTTCCTTGGGTTCCCCTATGGAAAAAAACCTTCTGAAAAGCGGCTGGTGGGTTTGAACTACCAGCCTTCTGGTTAGCTGTCAAATGCCTTAGGCACTATGCCACCAGAGGGTCCGAAACACCTAGGTCGTGTCAAAGATCTAGATGACTCCAAAGCTCTATGAGTCAAAGACTCTTAAAATAGGCATGACCCACTTCTCTTTTTACATTTTTTTTTTTGTTACAGTAACACTTCTTAAATAAAACTTGGTCCACAGTAGGGATGGAAAATTACTTAACAGGGTCATTAATACATAAACTGACTACAGATGGGTAAAAACATAAAATGTGTTGTATTAGGGCAAAAACTGATTGTAATATGAATGTGTTATCAGATTTCATAAGCAAATAGTTGCATTTCTGAGACAAAACTAGCTCAAAATTAATATCTAACAAAAATAAATTTTATAAAAAAGATTTTGATCAGAAAATATGATTACTATTAAGTCATAATTAACATTTAGAAGCATAGTGATTGCAGCATTATTTTTAATAGCAAAAACTTAAATGTCTATCACAAGAGGACCGTTGTTGTTAGGTGCCATTGAGTAGGCTCTGACTCATAGTGACCCTATGGACAACAGAATGAAATACTGTGGTCCTTTGCCACCCTCACAATCCTTGCCATACCTGAGCCCATTGTTGCAGCCACTATGTCAATGCATCTCGTTGAGGGCCTTCCCCTTTTTCATTGACCCTCCACTTTACCAAGCATGATATCCTTCTCTGGGGAATGGTCCTTTCTGACAACATGACCAAAGCAGGTGAGATGAAGTCTGGCTATTCTCCATTCCAAGGAGCATTCTGGCTGTACTTCGTCCAAGACAGATTTGTTTGTTCTTTTGGCAGTCCATGGTACTTTCAGTATTCTTCACCAACACCACAACTCAATAGCATCAACTCTTCTTTGTTCGGTCTTCCTTGTTCATTGTCCAGCTCTCAAATGCGTATGTCATAGTTGGGTTACGTGCACCCTAGTCTTCAAAGAGTCATCTTTGCTCTTCAGCACTTTAAAGAGATCTTTTGCAGCAGATTTACCCAATGCATTACATCGTCTGATGTCTTCATTGCCACTTCCATTGGTGTTAATTGTGGAACCAACTAATAAGAAATCTTTAACAACTTCAGTCTTTTCTCCATTAATTGTAGTGCTGCTTATAGGTCCAGTTGTGAGGATTTTCATTTTCTTTATGTTGAGATGTAATCCATGCTGCAGACTGTAGTCTTTAATCTTCATCAGTAAGTGCTTCAAGTCATCCTCACTTTCAGCAAGCAAAGTTGTGTCATCTGCGTATTACAGGTTGTTAATAAGTTTTCCTCCAATCCTGATGTGACGTACATCTTCATATAGTCCAGCTTCTCAGATTATTTGCTCATCATACAGATTGAATAAATATGGTGAAAGGATACAGCCCTGACACACTTCATTCCTGATTTTAAACCATGCAGTGTCCCCTTGTTCTGTTTGAATGACAGCCTCCTGGTCTATGTACAGGTTCCTGATGAGCACAATCAAGTGTTCTGGAATTCCCATTCTTCCCAATGTGATGCATAATTTGTTATGATCCACACAATCAAATGCCCTTGCATAGTGAATAAAACACAAGTAAACATCTTTCTGGTATTCTTTGCTTTCAGCCAAGATCCATCTGACATCAGCAATGACATCCCTCATTCTACATCCTCTTCTGAATCCAGCTTGCATTTCTGGAAGTTCTCTGTCAATATACTGCTCCAACCAGTTTTGAATTATCTTCAGCAAGATTTTACTTGCATGTGATATTAATGATATTGTTCGATAATTTCCATATTCTGTGGGATCATCTTTCTTTGAAATTGGTACAAATAGGGATTTTTTCCAGTCAGTTGGCCAGGTTCCTGTCTTTCATATTTCTTGGCATTGACAAGTGAGCCTCCAGTGCAGCACCCAGTTGTTGAAACATCTCAATGGGTATTCTGTTAGTTAATTCCTGGGGCCTTGTTTTTCGCCAACTCCTTCAGTGCAGCTTCAACTTTTCCCTTCAATACCATTGGTTCTTGAACATATGCCACCTCCTGACATGGATGAAGATCGACCCGTTCTTTTTGGTACAGTGATTCTGTGTATTCTTTCCATCTTCTTTTGATGCTTCCTGCATGCTTCAATATTTTGCCCATAGAACCTTTCAATATTGCAACTTGAGGCTTGAATTTTTTTTCTTCATTCTTTCAGCTTGATAAATGCCAAGTGTGTTCTTCTCTTGGTTTTCTAACTCCAGGTCTTTGCACATTTCATTAAAATAATTGACTTTGTCTTCTCGAGCTGCTCTTTGAAATCTTCTGTTTAGCTCTTTTATCTTGTTATTTCTTCCATTTGCTTTAGCTACTGTCCACTCAAGGGCAAGTTTCAGAGTCTCTTCTGTCGTCCATTTTGGTCTTTTCTTCCTTTCTTTTCTTTCTAATGACCTTTTGCTTTCTTCATGGATGATGTTCTTGATGTCATCCCACAATTCCTCTGGTTTTCAGTCATTGGTGTTCAATGCATCAAATCTATTCTTTAGATGGTCTCTAAATTCAGGAGAGATATAATCAAGGTCATATTTTGGCTCTCGTGGACTTCTTTTAATTGTCTTCACCTTCAACTTGAACTTGCATGCAAGCAATGGATGGTCTGTTCCATAATCAGCTGCTGGCCTTGTTTTGGCTGAAGATATTGAACTTCTCCATCACCTCTTTCCACAGATGTAGTCGATCTGATTCCTGTGTACTCCATCTGGTGAAGTCCATGTGTATAGCCATCATTTATCTTGTTGAAAAAAGGTATTTGCAATGAATAAGTCATTGGTCTTGCAAAATTCTATCATGTGCTCTCTAGCGTTATTTCTATCACCAAGGCCATATTTTCCAACTATCATGATTCTTCTTTGTTTCCACCAGTGATAATCAACACATCTTGATTTCATGTTTGGTCAATTTCAGACTGAAGAATTTGGTAAAAATCTTCAATTTCCTCATCTTTGGCTTTGGTGATTGGGGCATAAATTTGAATAATAGTAGTATTAACTGGTCTTCCTTGTAGGTGTATGGATATTATCCTATCACAGACAGCATTATACTTCAGCATAGATCTTGAGACATTCTTTCTGATGATGAATGTCATGCCATTCTTCTTCAACTTGTCATTCCACCACAGTACAACAAACTGACAGATGAGTGGTGGACAAGAGGACTAGTTAAATGAAATATGGTATACAATTAACTAGAATGCAGCTATTGAAAAGAATTATGCTGCTCTCTACATAATAAGAGAAAAAAACCTCCAAGATACTACTGAAAATAGAAGCAAATGGCAGATATGTATGTAGTATAAAATTCTTTATGTTTTAAAAAAATAGATCTATATAAAAATCCATGGAATTTCTCTGCAAAGGTACATAATAAACTGGTCATAGTGATTTTCTCCAGAGAAGGAAACTATTTGCTAGAGAAATGACACTTTCTTTCCCCACTAATATGCCTTTGGTCTTTCTGGATTTTTGTACCATTTGAATTATTCTTTCAAAAATTTTTAAAAAATAAAGATGAAGTGTATACTATAAGCTTTTATAATGCATCTTTGTGTAAATAAACTCTGGTACATAATAGACATTCAATAGATGTTTGTTTATTAACTTTACCCATAGACTTATTCCCCCTCTCCTATTATTCAAATCTCCTCTTTTCTTGATGGGTTTGGGGGGATCCTTTCACATAATTTAGGCATAATGCTAAGCACTTCCCATATGTTCGTCATCTCAGGTAATTGTACAACATCCCTGAGAAGCAGATATTATCACCTCTCTTTTACAGATTAGAAAACTAAGGCTCAGAGAGGTTGCTGTAGGCTCACAAATGGTGTATTTGATATTTTTATATATATTAAAGAAGCACTTTTTAAATATATGCAAAATGTTGTGAGGACTATGAAGGTTATTAGCCTCTTTGCCCCTCAAAGAGCTCTTAATTATGGTATGTTATTATATTTTATTACTTTAATCCTAACATTGTAAGTATTATCGTTCCCAATTTTAAATGAGTAAACCAAAACCTGGAGAAGAAACATTCCCCAACTATCCTAGTCAATATTTAATGTCTCCTTACTTCCTACTGTAGGAGCTCTGGTAGCATAGTGCCTAAAGCACTTGACTGCTAACCAGAAGGCTGGTAGTTCAAACCCACCAGCCACTCCTCAGAACGAAGGTTGGGCAATCTACTTCTGTAGTGATACTGCCTCGGAAACCCAAGGAAGGATCGCTATGAGTCGGGTCCTACTCAATGACACATAACAACAACAGTATTTCCTACTGGTCTTTTCTATTACAGACTGTCAGCATGCATTTTTAAATGTCACCATACATTGTGATATATATTGATATTTAACTTGTGTGTGTGTAGAGGTGGTGTACACACACACACACACACACATTCTTTGTCTCTAATACAAGTATAAACTACTTGAGACAGGAAACTTTATTTTATATTTCTTTAGTATCTCTCCATTGTATACTGACATGTAGACACGAAAATACATAGGGTGATGTATTAGTGCTAATCTAAGTCTGTATAATTTAGCTATTCTTCTTTTGTGCAAAGGGTTTATGACAGCAGATGAAAGAAAATTATTTGACCACCTCAAATCTCCTCATCTGAAATACTGGGTTCCGTTCATCTGGTTTGGAAATCTCGCAAGTAAAGCCCGGAATGAAGGTAGAATCAGAGACAGTGTTGATCTACAATCACTGATGACTGTGAGTATATCATACAGGAAAAGATGCTAATCAGAGGCCAAGAGGGTCCTGGCTATAACAGACTAGACCAGGAAGCATCTGCTTTGTTCAATTCTGGTTCTAAAGAAACGTGAAAGATTGGGCTGGTATTAGAATCTCCAACAGAGCTAGCAGAGACAGCGCACAGATCGACTGGAAGCTCTGTTTTAAACAGAATGATGCTCTGTAGGAGGCTGTGTTAAGAGTACGCCTTGATTGATCAGCAGGGTCAGCCAGGGCTCTGAAGGATGTGGCACACTTGCATGTTTGTCGTCCCCAGCTCCAGAATCCTGGAATAAAATCTGGAGTGTAAATAAACCTCCCAGAAGAAAATGTGGAGTAGAAATAAACTTCCCAAAAACTGAGAGTAATCCAAGGTCAAACCAACTTCTCAGATGCTCCAGTAAGCAAAACAGTGTTTTCTCTAAACAAAATAACCCTCAAATCATCTGAGAACCAAATCTGCCTTCAAGTACATGTGTGACAGATATATTTGTGCCATCACAGTCTCCTTCCTGGATTAGGCTAAAAGGAGTGAATAATTTAAAAATAGCTCCCAAATTAATATGAATCTATTTTTCTCAGTTGTAGATAATAACAACTTGTAAAAGGTAAAAAGTCACTAGATCCCAGGTCTTCCTGCTCCAGACAGAGGTTAACAGTCAACATTGCTATTCTAAAGTCCCATTTGTGAGAGGAAAGGTTTAAGATATATTTACCTCTGATTTCTAAAACATATAGAAGCATGTTTTAAAGAGAGAGAGAGAGAAACAAAAAACATTTTGCTTTTCATGTTATTTACCAAAGTGACTACAAATTGCTTATTTAAAATGTAAATCATTGCCTTTCCATCACCATTTTGAACCAATAAACATGGTTGAAATTATGGATTAAATATGTTGTTATTAAATAGGAACTATTTTTATAATGTCTGACTTATTTTAATATTTTAAAAATATGTCCAAATGTATTCATCTTCATGTACATTGTTCAGTGATGTTCATTGTTTGTTATTTCTGTAACTTTCTCTATAATATGTCCTTCAGAACGAATTTAGTAGCCTGGCATCATTTTAAAGACATATTCGTAAAAGATATGCCAACATTCTGAACTCCAGTAAATGTTCATTACCACACTCATTTTAGTAAACTGTGTTCCTGTCTTTCTGGATTAGGAAATGAACCGATACCGCTCTTGGTGCAGCCTCTTATTTGGTTATGACTGGGTTGGGATTCCGCTGGTTTACACCCAGGTATCTAATACTTTGCACGTGCTTTTTGTTTCCACTTGCCCGTCTTGGCTCTCTAGCTCGCTGTGGGTGGCAGCTGTATGTTCTCACTCTGCTTTCTCTCTATTCCAGGTTGTTACTCTTGCTGTCTACACCTTCTTCTTTGCATGTCTGATTGGACGCCAGTTTTTGGATCCCACCAGAGGCTACGCGGGGCATGACTTAGATCTTTATGTTCCAGTCTTTACTCTCCTACAATTCTTCTTCTATGCAGGATGGCTCAAGGTAGCCAGCAGACTCAGTGCCTGAGGCCTGCTCTGTAATCTCTATCATGTTCCCAATGTTCAGACGCTGATCTTTCACTGAGTCTTAGCAAATCACTCATTTAACATGTGATAGCTCTGAGATGTTTTATTTTGCAGCCAAAGATTAAAGTGACAGGGTTGAAGTGAGTACTCCCTTGCAGCTGTCTGAAGCAGCTCGTTTATGCAAAGAAGAATACTCTTTTAAGACTATTGATTTTTTTTAAGTATGTGTGTGCTCCCATTAGGATTACAATGATGTAATTAAAGCAATACACAGTACCCACACTGATATTTTCTACCACAATCAGCAACTAGACAGAGTGAACAAAAGTAAATAAGAAGACTTGAATATCCAGAAAAACCAAACTCACTGCCGTTGAGTTGCATCCAACTCATAGTGACCCCTCCTTGGGTTTCTGAGGCAGTATCACTTAAGCAGTATGTGAGGCTGGTGCAGGACCAGGCAGTGTTTGGTTCTGTTGTACACAGGGTAGCTGAGTGGGAGCCAACTCAGTGGCACCTAACAACAACAATGACATCTTGTTTCAGCTCAAGTCTGTAAAGAATTACTTGCAATTCCCTGGAATTCTACTAGCTGCCCCACAACATTAAATGCATCTCATTTTCAAAACCAGAACTGAGAGCCATGGAAAAATTAATCAGTATCAAAACCAGAAGCACCAAGATTAATGATGGCATTTGATTTGCCACGAGATTAAAAACAGGTCAGAGCAGTGAGAACGGTTATCCAATTATCAGGGTAGCATTTTATTTGTTCCACCACCACCTCCTCTTCTCCTCTCCCCATCCCTCGACCAGATGTGTGTGTTTAAATATCAGGGGCATTATTTTTACATTGCGTTAGTTCTCTTTTGTCAACTTCCAAAAGGGAAGTATGTGATGGAAAAAAAATCAAAGAATTGCATTAGTTGAAATTTAATGACAGTTTGAAATGACTTCAATAAAATAAATTCCCAATGTCGGACCTTCCCAACAGCCACATGTTTTGCACAGTCACAGCCTTCCAAGTTGAGTCAGCATGTTCCCCATAACTACCTTTATTTTCATTGGTTTGGAGCTTAACCAGGAAATATAAATATGTTGGCATTTAAAATTTTACTCCAAAACTAAAGACATGCCTTTTAAAAATGGCAAAAACAGTTTTAACTAGATGATAGTGATTCTTAATTATTTTTACTTCTTTAAGAGAGAGCAAGAGAGACTAATAGCTCTCATTTCCCATCAGAGGACAAAGTAGAGTCTATCACAATTGGCCCAAATGCTCAATCACTCTGGTCTTTCTCTGTCCTTTCCCTTGAGTTGTGCTTTTTATTCTTTGCTCTGTATCCACATGAGGCCACACTGTGAGAAGCAGTTGGCAGTTCCTTCTTATTGGCATGCTTTCTCAAATATTATCCTTTATGCTTAAAAGATACTTTTACAAGGTAAAATATGAAAAGACACACTCTCAGCTCTTTTAAGAGATAGACAACCGTCATAGAAGTGAGGTTTCCGATGCTAATAGGTTGTGTCTCAATTTCTAAATAGCTATTCTGTCTTGACTATTCTGATAGTTACAAATATTTTAAAGTGAAGAAAATCCATCTTAACTTTATGAACAGTATATTATTGAATTACTTGCTGGAAATATAGCCTCCAAGAAAGTAAAGGATATCTTTGTGAGATAGTCAATTCAGAAATGTAGGTATCATTTTGGAAATTTGATGTAGATTGTGATAGCCTATGTAAGAGTGATCCCAAAAAAGTGAAAGTCTAGATATAACAAAAATATTCTCAAGAAGTATCCTCTGACCCATTTAATTTAAGCAGCACGCCAGGCATGAGAAGGTAAATAGCCCCTTGGAACTTGCAGTAAAGGACTTTGACATGGATATTGCTGTGAGACTGACTGATTGGGACCACAGGCTGTCCCCCAGTACTGTCCCTCAGAATTGGGGAAATGTGCTTCTTTAGTAAAACCAAAAAAAAAAAAACCCTCATAGGGACCCCTTCTTGGGTTACACCATAGCTGGCTCTTAATGCTGGGAGCTTTACATAATCCTAATGCCTAATCTCAACCCCACCAGCTCTGCTAACCAGAAGGCTGGTGGACCACCAGCCACTCCATGCAAAGAAGACTGGGCAATCTACTTCCATAAAGATTTACTGCCTCGGAAAACCAGTGAGGGTCACTATGGGTCAGAATTGACTCGTGGTAGTGAGTTTCGGTTTTTTTTTGTTTTTTTTTTTTTTTGGAATTCCAGCTTTATGACTTACTAGCTCTCTAGTGTAGTGCCTAAGGCACTTGACTACTAACCAGAGGGCTAGCAGTTCATACTCACCAGTCACTCTTTGTAAGGAAGGTTGGGCAATCTACTTCCCTAATGATACTCCCTTGGAAACCCAAGGAGTTGCTATGAGTTGGGTCTGACTCTATGGCAAATAACAACAACAATAACAGCTCTCTAACTCATTCATTTAGCAGTTATGTCCAATAATTGTGAAAAAAAAATTATATATTATTTTCTTTAATATTGATTTAAGTCTTTCTTGGCCATTTAATTTTCCTCATGTTTACACTCCATCTTGTCATCTGGGTCCTTATAAATTCCTTGAGAGCAGAGATATAAACCAAAAAAAAAAAAAAAGCCAAACTCACTGCCATTGAGTCTATTCTAACTCATAGTGACCCCATTGGGTTTCTGAGGCTGTAAATCTTTACAGAAGTAGATCACCCCATCTTCCTTCCGCAGAGCAGCTGGTAGGTTTGAACTGCTGACCTTTTGGTTAGCAGCCAAATGCCTTATCCACTACACCACTAGAGCTTCTCAAAGAGAAAGTAGAGAGATGTACCCTTCAAAATGCCCAGCACAGTACCTTACACATAATCTGTGCTCTTTCAATATTCATGCCTTTGATTTGTACCTGAAAATGAATAATTTGGCTCTTAAATAGTGCATGGCTTCCCCTGCAGTGTAGAGCCCGCATTTTCACCAGTTGAATAAACAGAGCCATTTGGAGAGCATGCCTGTGCAAGGTACATCATTCATAGTTTGAGAGTCAAGTCTTGCTTTGTTGAAAAATATCTGTGACTGTCAAACAACCCACTCTCCTCTAGGCTTCATATTATGAAAGTAACAAAAGGAAGCAGAGAGTGAAACAGGGATCATTTTTCAATCTCCACTCTCAGTCTTCATACACATTATGACGGTTTTATTCTGTGTTCTCAACTGCAGGTAGCTGAGCAGCTTATCAATCCTTTTGGAGAAGATGATGATGATTTTGAAACTAATTGGTGCATTGATAGAAATTTGCAGGTTAGAGGAGCTTTTCTTTCCTTTACAAACATTAATAATAAATCACTGCTGTGCTGCAAATCTAAACAGTCTCTGAATTCAGGCTCTGAACTTCCTATAAATGAAATTTTGCAATAAATGAAAAGAAATTTCCTATTCAGTTTGGTGTCTCAGTTCTGTTGTAGCCCCAGAGGTCCCAGGTCTCAGCTGCAGTGTGACTGAGTCTCTTCTAAATAGAATTTTAAGCCAATTGTCAGTTTCTTTATTAGCTTTACCCAGAGTCTTCCATCTTTGTACAGAGTAATGTTTTAATTCACTCTTTAGTCCATTTTCTATTGCTACCCACAGAGATGAACAGTGACATAAATGGGAGACAGACAACATCTGATGTAAGTTCTCAAACTCCTATCACACCACTATCTAGCAGCTGGATACTAGGGACCTGGACCAAACCACCTGTGTCTCACATCTGCCAGAATTACACCAAATGGGCCCCAGGCCCTTACTAGGCATCCCTATGCCAGAGAGGCTTTGCATGAGGAACCAGAGTGAGGGCATTTCCCTTTTAGGAAAGACTCTTCTCAGACCATTCTCTTCCCTGAGAACTGCTTTACAGAGTAAAGGCCTTTACCTTGTTCATTTGTTTTAGCTCTTGAAGAGGCTCAAATATACCACAGATCACATTGTCAATCCATTAGGGAACAGGGATGATGCCTACACTATTCACTATTTGTAAAAATTGGATTCCCAGAGGATTAATAATTCATTCACACATCAATTTGTCCAAACCAAGAGAAATAACCACTACAGCCCCAAGCAGCAGAGATATGCTTTTCCAAACAAGCAAACAAAAAAATCAGAGCATATTAGAAATGACATCAAGTGTAAGTGTGTTTACTGGGTAAACAGAATGGAATATTGAGAATCTTTCATCTTCCTGTCATATGTGGGGTTGCCTGGTTAATGTCAGGATGGCTACTAGACAAGGCAGCAACTTTGAGCAAAGTAGAAAAAAGTACCTACTATGAGCAAATTAAAAAGTGCCTCTCTCAATCAATCATGGGAGAATAGAAGGGCTGTGTATGCATAGGGAGAAATCTCAGGGGGCAGGAGTGCATGGGAGGGAAGGACACAGGGAAGAGGTAACTATGGGCAGGAAGTGGGAAGAGAGCTGTTGCATTGTGAGAAATTGCAGTCAATGTCATGAGACAAAGTATATGTGGACTGCTGTATGGAAAATGAATTTGCTCTGTAAACTTTCACCCAAATCACAATACAATTTTTTAAAAAAAAAAGTAGTAAATATGAGTCAAAATTGAAACATTCATTGGGCGGGGGGGAAGCACCTCTTTCATCCCTTCAGGTAAAATGCAGCTCTAATTGGGGCACGTGGCTTGATGAAGCAATTGTGGGCAGTTTGACAGCCCCATTTACCTCCGTGGGTGGCCAAATGCTCCTGTGCAGCAACTTGTACAAATGTGTTACAACACTGGTGTCAACAGACATGACTATTTGTATATTCAATCATTTAGACTGTTCCTATCCCATTCCAAGTCCTATCCACCTACTGGAACTTATTCCTTTTTTTTTGGATACTATTCACGTCTGAATTATCCTAACACTATAATGATCATTTTAGGTCTCTCTTTTAGCTGTGGATGAAATGCACATGAGCTTACCCAAGCTGAAGAAGGACATTTACTGGGACGATTCTACTGCTCGACCACCATACACACTGGCAGCTGCTGACTACTGCATACCTTCATTTCTGGGGTCAACAACCCAAATGGGGTAAGTACTTTTTTTTTTAATCTTCAGTGTTTAGGAAATAAGTCGATCATTGTTCTGATCTTTTTACACCCTGGTCTTGAAGTTACTTTCATGATTGTTTGCAATTATTATCTTATATCTAGCCTTTTCAAAAATTTTAGATATAATAGACTCAAGGGTATTAGAGAATAAATTGACTATAATTTCTTGTTTAAGCCTAGTATGGTTTACTTTTTGTTTTTTTCTGGTTTAGGCATGTTATTTTGGGAGGAGTGAGTAGAAGATATAATTTGCATTTTACTCTGTTTTTATACCATGGCAAACTTTTCCAATAGCTGTAACCATGCGCTTTTTTCCTACCAACTTGAAGAGTAGTTTAAATGACTATCTTAATTAAATGTATTTTTAACAAATATTCATTGACCACACACCATGTTCAGGCATTGTATTAGGCTGTTTGGAGATAAGCTCCTTTTAAGAAATGGAATGAGTTTTATCAAAGGTTTTCTCTAAGATTATAATTCAGTCCAACTATATAATTCAGTCCGACTATATTCAGTATATCAGGAGCTCTGGTAGCATAGTGCCTAAGGCAGTTGACTGCTAACCAGAAGGCTGGTGATTCAAACCCACCAGCCAGTCCTCAGAAGGAAAGTTGGGCAATCTACTTCCATAGTGATACCGCCTTGGAAACTCAAGGAGGGGTCGCTATGAGTCAGGTCTGACTCGACGGCACATAACAACAACAACAATATTCAGTATATGAGTCACTGTCTGATTAGAGGATTTAATATAATTGTTGTTGTTGTTGTTATGTGCCGTCGAGTCGGCCCCAACTCATAGCGACCCCTCCTTGGGTTTCCGAGGCAGTATCACTACGGAAGTAGGATTGCCCAACCTTCCTTCCGAGGAGTGGCTGGTGGGTTTGAACCACCAGCCGTCTGGTTAGCAGGCAAGTGTCCTAGCCACTATGCTACCAGAGCTCCCTTTAATATAATAGTCTTCTCTATTTCCAATGAGCCTTAAATAAGTGGATTGAGGCCAGAAGTAAATCGTGCACAGTCCTTGAATAATGTTACTAAACCTAATAGTGTATTGGATCTTGGAGAAATGTATGAATGTGGTGGAAACAAGTATATTTGCAGAAAGCAGAGGTCATGATTTCTAAGTAACTTAGAGGAGAGGTCGGGCAAATACAGAAAATCAAAAAGAACCAAAATAATAATATATAATATATATTATTATATAATAATTATTATTTACAGACATACACACACAGAAATACACACACACATATCAGGAACTCTGGTGGCATAGTGCCTAAGGCTAACTAAAAGGTTGGCAGTTAAAACCCACCAGCTGCTGGCAGAAGGAAGATGGGACAAACTACTTCTGTAAAGATTTACCACCTTGTAAACCCAGTACAGGTTGCTATGAGTCAGAATCGACTTGATGGCAATGAGCAGCAGTGAACACTATACACACACACACATGTATGTACACACACACACACACATATATATATATGTACACATACGTACATATATATACATAACACACAGCCATCGAGTCAGATCCGACTCAAAGCAACCCTTCCTTGGGTTTCCGGGAACCCTTAGGCACTATGGTCAAACCCATAGTGCCAAATGCCTTAGGCACTATGCCACCAGAGTGCCCTATATATATGTACATACATAGATATGTATATCTACATGTCTGTATATGTACTTATATATATGTATGTATGTGTATACATACACACACACACATATGTATACACATTAGCTCTGGTAGCATAGTGCCTAAGGCATGTGACACATCTTAAGAAAAAGATGACTGAAAGTGGAATTCCAGGAGTTGTAAATGAGAAAGATTCAGGAGCTAGGAGATTTACCTTGTAGCCCTCAAATCGCACCTTACAAGAGGTTGCCTAGTATGCAATAGACTTGCTTCTGCTTCTAGATATGGTTGTAAGACTGGACTCTCCTGTCCAGGACTTCTTCCAGGCTAGGATGCTCATCCATACATCCAGCCTATTACTCAATTTCTGTGAATCATAATTTCCTGTTGCTTGCTCTTCTCGGCCTTTGCTAATGCATTTTGTAATGGCAGAGCTTCACATAGGTCTGAACCTTTTCAGTTTTGAAATAGGAAATGTTTTTCTGTGAGCTTGTTTTGAGATAATTATTCTTTATCTGTCTCCCTACTCCCAACATTGATTAATGCAAAGTATATGAAGTTCTACCTTATAAAAGAAGAGACCAGCACCATTGATGGTGCTGTTGTTAGGTGCTGTAAAATCAGTTCCTAATCATAGGGACCCTCTATACAACAGAATGAAACACTGCCCAGTCCTGCACCATCCTCACAATCATTGCTATGTTGGAGCCCATTTTTACAGCCACAGTGTCAATCCATCATTGGGACTCTACCTCTTTCTCTCGGACTCTCTACTTTACCAAGTATTATGTCCTTCTCTTTGAACCATTTGCAAGGGTCAAGGAATCATTGGGAGGACTCTATTTACACTGCACATACTATGTATGCTTCATTTCTAATGTCCATGTACTTGTGTTTCTATTATGGTAAAAATTATTTTCTTATTGTTTCAAGATTTTTATCTTGATCTTTTTTTCATCCTATTCACATAATTTTGCATTACTAAGTAACTGTCCATATTCTTTAGAATGTACTGAGACATGCTTTTCTCTTATTTCTACATACAGAAACATAGAATTAGTGATTTATCAGACCTTGGAGAGAATATCAAACCAAACCAAACCCACTGCGATCGAGTCAGATCCAACTCATAGCAACCCCTCCTTGGGTTTCTGAGGCAGCATCACTACAGAAGTAGATTGCCCAATCTTCCTTCTGAGGAGTGGCTGGAGGATTTGAACTGCCAACCTTCTGGCTAGCAGTCAAATACCTTAGGCACCTACCCCAAAAAGATTACTGGGAAGATTAAATGAAATTGTAAATACAAAAGCATCTGTAGTTAATGTTTTGTGTAACTATAATGCACTATTATTATTATCAACTAGTACAGGTCTCTTATTCATAGATGTCAAACTGAGGCACAGAAAGATTAAACATACCTTTTCTTATATATTAAACTAACATCAGAAATTTGGGACAGAAAATAAAACACCTGAGAGAAAACCTGGAGATAGGACATTTAAGAGTGTAGAAAATATTATCAGTTGTCAGAGAGAATGCCAATTAAGATGGTATATTTACTAGCATAAGGAGCTCTGGTGGTGCGTGGTTAAAGCATTGAGCTGCTAACCGAAAGATCAGGAATTCAAACCCATCAGCTGCTCTTCAGAAGAAAGATAAGGTGGTCTGGTTCTACAAAGATTTACAGCCTTGGAAACCCCGTGGGGGCAGTTCTACTCTGTCCTATAGGGTTGCTATGAGTCAAAATCAACTCAATGGCAGGGGGTTTGGGTTTTTTGGTTTATTTACCACATTGCAGCAGCCAGGGATCCAGGTAAGGGGAGGGACCAAGGTCCCACCCCCACCAGCCAGGAAAGTGGGGGAAAGAGAAGCCAGGGGGGATGACAGAGCAGAGCAGCAGCCAAGGATCCAGGTAGGGGAGGGACCCAGGCCCAACCCCCATGAGCCAGGAAAACAGAGGAAAGAGAAGCCAGGGGGACAACAGAGCAGAGCAGCACCAGGGATCCAGGTAAGGGGAGGGCAGAGAAGTTTCAAACAGCTAAGCAAGACAAACTTGTCTGTCAGTTTGTCGTACTATTGTGGCTTGCATGTTGCTGTGAGACTTTAGGCTGTGCCACCAGTATTTCAAGTGTCAGCAGGGTTGCACATGGTGCACAGGTTTCAATGCAGCTTACAGATGGAGACAGACTAGGAAGAAGAAAGAGGCCATCCACTTTTCAAAGAATTGGCCAGGGAAAACCTTATGAATAGCAGAGAAACACTGTCTGATACATTACTGTGCAACTTGAAGTTGAAGACAATTAAAACAACTCCACAAGAGCTAAAATATGACCTGGAATATATCCCTCCTGAATTTAGAGACCATCTAAAGAATAGATTTGATGCATTGAACACTAATGACCGAAAACCAGAATAATTGTGTGATGACATCAAGAACATCATCCATGAAGAAAGGTCATTAAAAAGATGAGAAAAGAAGAAAATACCAAAATGGATGTCAGAAGAGACTCTGAAACTTGCCCTTGAACATATAGTAACTAAAGCTAAATGGAAGAAATGACAAGATAAAAGAGCTGAACAGAAGATTTCAAAGAGCAGCTCGAGCAGACAAAGCCAATAACTATAATGAACTGTGCAAAGACCTGGAGTTAGAAAACCAAAAGGGAAGAATATGCTCAGCATTTCTCAAGCTGAAAGACCTGAGGAAAAAAAAATAAGCTTTGATTTGCAATACTGAAAGATTCTATGGGCAAAGTATTGAATGATGCAGGAAGCGTCAAAAGAAGATGGAGGGAATACACAGAGTCACTGTACCAAAAATAACTGGTTGATCTTCATCTATTTCAGGAGGTGACATATGATCAAGAACCAATGGGGTTGAAAGAAGAAGTCAAAGCTGCAATGAAGGAATTGGCAAAGAACAAGGCTCCAGGAATTGACGGAATACCCATTGAGATGTTTAAACAAACAGATGCCCCACTGGAGGTATTCACTCAGTTATGCCAAGAGGTTTGGAAGAGAGCTACCTGGCCAACTGACTGGAAGCGATCCATATTTGTGCACATTCCAAAGAGAAGTGATCCCACAGAATGTGGAAATTATTGAACAATATCATTAATATCACAAGCAAGTAAAATCTTAACTGAAGATAATTCAAAAACTGTTGCAGCAGTACTGACAGAGAACTTCCAGAGGTGCAGGCTGGATTCAGAAGAGAATGTGGAACAAAGGATATCATTGCTGATATCAGATGGATCTTGGCTCAAAGCAAAGAATACCAGAAAGATGTTTACTTGTGTTTTATTGACTATGCAAAAACATTTGATTGTGTGGATCATAAC